CACATAAGTTATGTGTCCATTTTATCTTTTTTCTTCCCAGGCTATTGCATCCTGCTTGAGTGTTGCTATTAAGTCTTGCCTTCTGCAAGACTTTCCCATATAACATCATTTCAATTTTATTCATTTTTTAAACTTTATTTAAATGTCTTTAGTGATCTTCATATATTTTATTTTCTAACAAATTATTATGAAAACTTATGGTGTTTAAATCTATTGCTGTAACAAATGTTTGAGTTGATTTTTATCACCTTTTCTAATATTTTCTTGCTTTTTTTTTCCTTTTTATTCTAGAGTTTGTTTTAATATTATGTAGAGGTTTGTAAGATTGAAATCCTTTCATTTATTTTACTGGTGGTGATTCTTTTGTTTATCAAATGCATATTGAAACTATATTTGTCTATCCAATTCAAGAACAAATTCCTAATGCAGAATTTAAATTATCTGGCCTTCACCTGATATCCTCCTTTTCTGTATTTATCAGTTACTTCTTTTATCAGGCATTATGATATCAACATTTTATCGTGAAGTTCTGATTTGTTTGCATATACAACATCTTTTCAGACTTAGACTTTAATTGTGTGCCCATGTGACAATTCATCGTATCTGATCCTAAAAATTAATTGGTTTCAAAGTTCTTTGCCATTTCCTTTATACTTTAAGTGTTATAGTCTTGAGTTCTTGATTTCTCTTTATCAGTTGACAGGTATTCATTTTTTTGTGCTTTCTCAGGAAGGGAACATGAATGATTTATCTTTCATGATTTTAAGCTTAGCAAAATGTCTTTCTGCCAACTTTTCACATGAACAACCTGGATATAAACCTCTCAGGTTACAAACTTTTCCAGTCACTACTCTGTACAAATTGTTTCATTGTCTTTTGACATTTGATTTTTCAAAGAAGGGTGAGGTTGCCTTATTTTTGCTACTCTAGGGATTAGCTTTTATTCCTCTTTTGATTTTTGTAAGATTTTAAATTAACCATTGAAATTAAAATAAAATGAAACTGCCTTGATATTTCTGGTCATTTAAAAATGTATTTTATTTGGTTCTTCCTAAGCCCTTTTACTCATAAATTTTTATATTACATCTTTGATGATAAATTCTCTGTTGTTTGGATTTCCGGGTCAGTAACACCTCTCTTTACTTAGATCTAAATTGTCTTCCATGTCTTTCATCTTCTCTTTATTTCTTTTTCTCCTCTAAATATTAGGAAATATTTTCAAGATTTTTTTCAACGTTATTCATTTAATTTTTTACAGTGTCACTTCTGTTTTACTGCCTCTGATACAGATTATCATTTTACCACTGTGTTTTGTGTTTCCTTTGCTATTTTGTTAATTCAGCTAGCTTCCTTATCATGTCCATGTTCATTTGAGAACAAGCTATCTTTTGACACTCTGATCCTTTTTAACAGAGTGAGTGTTTTTAAAATATATTATTGAAGATAGCAAATGAGTGTGTTCTAAATCTTTTTTTTCAAGATCAGTAGGGAAGATTTCCTGCTATTATTATCTTTTTTTTATAGACTCCATAGTGGCAGATGTATATATATGTTTCTATATACTTATCCTTGAATAGGACCAGTTCTAGCCTAGTACCAACAGGTAGGCTTTGTGGATTGGTCTTTGCTTCTGTCTCACTCTAATTTGGTAGGAGTCTAGTCTTGAAGTATGAAGTCATGCCACTTAATTTGGGATGTTGAGGAGGAAGCATTTCTCTTTGTGAATCTTCTGAATTGAGTTTTATATACTTTCACTGACTACTGAGTATTTTGAATAAGCTAGACTATCAAATAAACTTTTCAGTTTTTCTTCAAACAGTGCTACATGCAGACTATGTTCATTAATAGATGCTTCTCAAAGTACTTGGTCCTATCCTATTGTAAAGCTTTTCTGCAGAGGGATAATCTATCTTCAGAATCTACCCCTAGGGATCCCTGGGGGGCGCAGTGGTTTGGCGCCTGCCTTTAGGCCAGGGCGCGATCCTGGAGACCCGGGATCGAATCCCACGTCAGGCTCCCGGTGCATGGAGCCTGCTTCTCCCTCTGCCTGTGTCTCTGCCTCTCTCTCTCTCTCTCACTGTGTGCCTATCATAAATAAATAAAAATTAAAAAAAATCTACCCCTACTTTCTTTATTGTTTGACTAACAGGGTGTAATATGGATGGTTATAGAGAAGGAAACTGAAGAGATTGGAAACACAGATTAGTATTCTAGCCCTATACAGCTCAAAGGCTACTTATCAGATGGATCATCAAAGTGGTGATACAGTGGGTGGTACCTTATGACATAGCTTAATCCAACTGGTTTTTTAAATGTCCTACATTCCTATTCCACTTCTTCAACTATATATATATATATATATAGTTGAAGAAGTGGAATATTATATATATATATATATATATATATATTTATATATATAAAGTACCTTATGACATAGCTTAATCCAACTGGTTTTTTAAATGTCCTACATTCCTATTCCACTTCTTCAACTATATATATATATATATAGTTGAAGAAGTGGAATATTATATATATATATATATATATATATATATATATATTTATATATATATAAAGTGTGGAGTAGAATTCAGTTTGGATACAGAATATAATAAATGGTAAGAAGCCCTGAGGTTCTGGTTCTGGGTCAGGACCTCAAGGTCATTTGCTTTAGAGGGGATGTGGGAGGTCATAGGTGCCCCAGACCACTTAATTCTTTTTTAAACAAAAGAAGTAATTACCAGCCTGTTTCTGCTGCCCCCAGAATGTTTGAAAGTCACTGAAATATTACGAAGTTAGGAGTTATCTACTCCAACTCCTTTAGTAGGAAGATAATGTGAAATGTAAGATGAGCACTGAAAGACAAAAGATACAAGGCACATAAAGATGAGATCAGAGAGCATAAAAGGGAGGAGAACCTTCCGGCTCAGAGGTGTTAAGTGGAGGATCTAAAAAGAAGCCAATGTAGCTGGAATGTAGCAGGCTAGCAGGAAAATGGTGCAAAACCAGAATGGAGAGAGATGCAGGTCCAGAAAAAAAAAAAAAAGATAAAAAAATGAAAGTAAGGAGTTTTTATTTAATTAAAATTTTATAAGAAGGCCCAGGGACAAGGGGCATTTAAACAGGTAAAAAACATAATCTGATGAGTTAGCAACAAAGGTTTCATGTTTTGGTTCACTTATTCACCCATTCATTTATTCATTCATATTCTCTTTCATTCATTCAAACACTCATTTATCAAATAGCCACTAGGTTTTAGGTATTCCGATGGGGTTAAATCTTAGGATTCCCAATTCCTAGTACAGGAGTATTTCCATCATACCTTGTAACTTCTCTACTCATCAGTGTGCTTTGTCTGAGGGTCACTTTTATATATTTGAATCACTCATTCTTTACAGTGCCTGGTTTATGGTGATCTCTGAATAAGATGGTAAGTAAAGATATCAGTAATAATAATAATGATAATTAGCATTCCATTACACACATTTAAAAGTCTCTGGAGTAGGGGAGAAATATTTCTAAAAAACAACAACAACAACAACAACAAAACACAGTTAAAAGATAGTCATCATTAGTGACCAGGCTTCCCCACTGGTCAGAAACCCATAATGTCTTTGTAGGACTGATTGGTCAGTTGGATGCACTGAATTTTTCATTCAGGTTAAATCAGCTACCTTTTCTATACATAGATTTGTTGGGCCTTTGCCACATCAGACTTGGTCATGCTGACATGGAATAGTCAAGATTTGTCTCTTTAATTGTCAACTAAAGAGTTCCTTGTATATGTTTAGTGAAGTCTCATGGCTGAAATATACACAAATTCAAAGAGCACTCCAAGCCTTCCACCCCTGTTGTGGCTTTCACAACATACACAGCCTTCTTCTAACATATATTCCCAAGATTTCCAACAGTGGAACATCTGTTTTACTTTGAGGTAGCTATGATAAGCATCTGCTTAGAGGAATGATTTGAACAAAACCAGGGCACATTTGTTTGCCATGTTATGGATTATCTGGTCTTACATTGTTTATGAATAAATCATACAGGATGGATAAACTGGTAACCACAACAGCATGTTTTATACCACGTTTAAAACATAAATTTATGCATTTGTAATTTTTTTCCTGTAGAAACTAAAAAAAATTTATGTTTTAAATAGAAGATAACATGGATTTTGACTATAGCTCAGCAGTTGGGTACACAGATTCCAGGAATTCCTTTAGTAAATTAGAATCCAACTGGCTGATTGAGGGTCCTAGTGTTCACAACTGACATTAAATGCATTAAGAGTAAGTGAGTCAAAGATAAAAATACAGTATTGTATGATAAAAAGGTAACACAATTCCACATTTGTATAATACTTAACATTTTCTCCTCAAAGCTCATTTTAAAAATAAGAAGTGTAATGAAGGTTCACAAAGGTTCAGGGACTTCTTGAAGTCACACAGGCAATTAGTAACAATCTGAATTGAGAATCACATCTTCCTATTTATATTCTACTATTCTTGGCTTACACAACAACTGCTTCATTAAGAAGTTATTTTGAAACCATATTCAGGGGCTGTTAGTGACATTTAGTATAAAGCTAAATCCATAATATCCATTTTGAATTGTTTGATTTGGTATAATAACAATTCTTAGGATGAAGCAGGTGTAAAATGGAGGAGAAAGATATACGAAAGATTGGTGTTTGGGTTATTGCATTAAGAAATCTGACCTCCATTGGCTGACTGAATGGCAAAATCATTCTATAGAAGAGCCATTCGTTATGGTGCTTCCATTGTTAAAGAAGCAGTGTCTTTACTATGTATTTTCCTGTTGTTGAACACAGATCCCCAGAAAGGATAGACTTTGGTCATGCTGAGGCTGCATTATTGTTTGTACCAACCTGGCCATCCTAAATCAGGCAAACAAACTGAAAACTTGAAATAGCAAACAATCATTTAAAAAACTCACGTGTCCCTTTAAGCAGAAAGAAAAAAAAATGACTCAGGACTCACTCAGGACTTTAGGGTGATTTTGGTCTGCATTCACTCAGCTAGAGGAAAGCTGTTCTCATCTCCCATGACTTTGGCTTCTCTTTCATTTGTATTTTCCATTTCCTTTCCCTGGGCCAGATGTGTGGATTTCCTCGCTGTGCCCAGTGACAGAGTAGACTTTTGTAGAAACTGCCAGGGCTATTTGTAATCTCCTGGCTTTGCAGAGATCTCAGATGCTGAGAAGAACAAATTCTGATGTTTCACAGCCACAGGAAGAGGGGTCGAGATGTTGAGAGAAGGACAATTTGGGTGGAGTTTTCACATGTGTTTCTCCTTCATGGAGAATCCAGGGTGGGGATCTGGTGTAGCTGAAGCCAAGTTGTATTTCTGCCCTCTTTTTCCTTTGTGGCTTGGGAGAGCAGCCATGAGGAGTGCACAGTTTTAGCTTGGACCATGACTTCTTCATCCTAAAATGCCAGGGTTGGAAAAGCTAGTAAAGGTCATGTTCCCCACCCTCCCATCAAAATCAATTTTATTTTTTTAAAGACTTATTTATTTTAGAAAGACAGGGAAAGAGGGGTTGGGGAGAGAGAGAGAGAGAGAGAGAATCTCAGACTCTGCACTGAGCACAGAGCTCCATACAGGGCTCGATCCCAAGACCCTTAGGTCATGACCTTAGCTGATACCAAGAGTCAGTCACTTAACTGACTGGGCCACTCAGATGCCCCACATCAAAATCAATTTTGGATGAAGTCTGCAGAAGAGAGGAAGAGTGATTTTGTTCATACAAAAATTGTTTTCCTAGAATCTAAAACTGCTTGTTGCCCTTTGATACATCTGTGACCATCCAGAATTGATGAAGAATGTAGAGCTGAGGTAAGGGATGGTGTCAAAGGACATCAGTTCAGCTTCTCATCCAGTGTGAAAATCCCTTGGTTATCAGGGAAAAGAAGAAGATATACTGGTGATATTGAATTGGTATGAAGTTCTGATGGCCTTAAAATACTGTTTAACCCCAGGACTATTTAACTGATGAATCTCACAATCTGCTAGTCACTGCTTCCTTACAAAGTGCCAAGATAAATGTATGCACAGAGACTGAAACAATATGGAATAAGACTTTAATACTAGCCAGAGGCTTTAGGAACATGCCCCAATAAAAACTTTAGCATGGGCTAGTATAGATTCCATAGAAGACTCCTTTATCTTTGTCATTGTAGGTCAATGTAAGGATCTCTGCTAGAATAAAAGGAAGCTAAAAGGTCTAATCTCTATATATCTACTCCAAATTCAAAATTGGTTTGTAAATCTTAAAACTGTGCTGTGAGAAAAGGCCTCATACACCACATAGTATCAGATGAAAGCACAAAAATGTGAGTATGTAATCCATTGTGAGGTGCGAGTCCACCGAGGATGAGAGGGCAGGCCTATCTTCTGGGACCATCTTACGTAGATATGTGGGAGAGGAGAAAGCCTCTGAAGAGTAGAAAGAAATGTCCCAAGTGATGTATCTTGTTACCGTGGCTGTGCAGAAGAGTATGGTAGAAATGAATTTAGAAGGACCACATTTACTTGTATGACCCAGTGACTCCAGCTGCATGCACTTTACTGAAGGAAAGGTTTCCTAACCTGGACAATCATGCTAATATTTCTCCTCTTTCTCCTTCAGGTAGAAGTTAAAGGGGTTGAGAAAGGGTATGAGTGTTTCTCAGAGACTGCATCCTTGCACAGCATCCCTACCCAGGAATAGCCATCCAGTCTCCATGTTGCTCCTGATGCCATTTTACATAGGGGACGATAGTCAGATTCAGTCCCAGTTTTATGATTTGGGTGTGGATTGAACTTCTACAGTGGGATGTGTTGAGGCTATTTTCCTATTTTTACTTAACCGATTACATATATTCTGTAAGAGAGTATATCACAGCACACTGCCTCACTCTACAGTTTTATCACAGAGACCAAAGAGCATGCTCAGGATATGCCAGCTTCTCAGAGGAAGGAGAGGGCAGTCTCTGAGTTGGAGCTTTCCCACTGCTATAGAAGCAATCATAGGGAATACATGATGTAGCACCAGATGTTCACTGAAAAGATATGTTAGCTTAGGCCCAGGGCTAAGTAAAATGTCTATACCCTTTTGAGAAGAGAGTTGCTTTGAGGTGAGGTAAGGTAGGTACTTGAAAAAATACTCAGTTTCTTTGTACACAGTGAAGACCAAAGAGAAGGCCTTTTGAGAAAGTTATAGTCATACCAAAAAGGCAACAGTTTAGATTAGAATTTGAAATCTTGCTACTAAATAAAAAGCAGTGACCTGGTATACCCAACCTATTTTTCCACCTTCCCATTGTTAAGAGACTTTTTTCTAGCTCCTCACCACCTTCTTCCCTTCTTTTTGATTTTTTAGTTGTCTGAAATATTAATCCTGCAAAACTGAACTTAGGTGAGATTGTTTCTGTTTTGATCCCTGCCTTTAATTTATTGAAGGACACAAAGGTTAAGTTGAAGGTATGAAGTTGAGTTGTTCTTTAAATTGTGTTCTTAGCCATAACACCGACCTTGCACATTTTCTGCAGTTTCCTGTATGTCTGGGGATGGTCAGTCACATTTCATTGTCTCCAAGAACCATCATGGCCTTGTCTTGGCATTCATGCAGGCTTCTCTTCACTACAGACCAAGATAGTACTTAATGTCGATCTCCCCATGGGAGGCAGCTTTCAGAGTTTGGTGTTGACATTTCAAAGTTTAATCCTTTTTCATATTCTTTTCTCTGTGTCAGCCTCAGTTCAAATCAGATACAATTGATCCTCAGTAGTACAGTTGATTCCATATTTGTAAATTCACCTACTCACTGAAATTTGTTTGTAACCCCCAAATCAATATTTGCAACATGCCTTCTGGTCATTTACTGACATGCACAGAGCAACAAAAAATTTTGAATTTCCCCACACATGTGTTCCCAGCTGAGGTCACATCAGGCCATGCTCTGCCTTCCTGTTTCAGCGCTCATACTATAAAACAAATACCCTTTTCATGGTCTATGGAGGGCTATGCTTTTCACATTTTTGTGTTTTTGTTGGTGATTTTGAGGTTGAAAATTGCCTCCAAGTTTAGTACTGAAGTGCTGTGTAGTGTTCCTACATCAAGAAGGCTGTGACAGGGATCCCTGGGTGGCGCAGTGGTTTAGTGCCTGCCTTTGGCCCGGGGTGCAATCCTGGAGACCCGGGATCAAATCCCACGTCGGGCTCCTGGTGCATGGAGCCTGCTTCTCCCTCTGTCTCTGACACTCTCTCTCTCTCTCTCTCTCTCTCTCTCTCTCTCTCTCTCTCTCACTGTGTGCCTATCATAAATAAATAATTTTTTTTTTAAAAAAAGAAGGCTGTGACATGGCTTTTGGAGGAAATACATGTGTTAGATGAGCTTTGTTCAAGCATGAACTAAAAAGCACTTTTGGTTGTGAGTGCAATGTTAACAAACCAACAATATATTTTAAACAGCTTTCCTTTAAACACATCACACATAAAACAAGGTTATGTACTGATTGGTTGGTGAACATCTTGAGACCAGAGGCTTTCAGGAACTCAATGCTATATTTTCCCAAAGAGCAGTGGCTTGGTATATGCTAATTCAGTATTTGCAGCAACTTTACAATAAGTAACTACCTTACATAATAAGAAATGACTGTGATTGTTTAGTAAGTGTTTGCTGTAATGATAAAAATAAATATTATTGAACCAGCATGATAGGTAAGGATGTAACATTAAAGGTACTGTGTCAGCCACAAGTCATAGTAAGGGACTATGAGGTCTCTCCCCTAGCCCAGAACTTTTCTAACAAACCAGAGAGAGAGATGCGTCACTTTCTGGGCCATTTCACTTGGATCATAGCTTATTTTCTTTCACACCCCTAGTGCTTTCCCCAAAAATAGCTGTTTAATTTTTCTAAAAATTGACCCTACAGTTATATGTATATTTGCAATCTGAGGAGCGAGGGAGAGGAACCACCTACTCTTCAAGACAAGGGTGGGTTGTTGAATTTTATGCTATATCTTGACATTGCAATAAATCTCTGAACCTACACCAGCCTGCACTGGATATTTAATACTATTTTTAGTTTCAATACTAATCAATCATAGAAGAATGTGCTGTTATTTTTTAGTTACATGTAAATGTTTAGAAGAATAAAAACAGCATATGCGTAGTTCATGCACAGACAAGTTTATTGATAATTTTGTCAAATTCTGTGTGTCCATTGATGTGGCCATTACAACTGCTGAGACTGTGGAATAAACCTGACATGATGTTTATATTTCCTGGCAGTTTTACCTGGAAATAGATGGGATATGGGGAACCTTGAACTCTGTCCTTTGGACACAGTTTGGAAGTCTCCTCAGCCCACTGTACTGTAGAATCACTCATGTTAGAGACCCAGCTACTGGGAAGCCACATAAATCCTGATTGTGAAACTTCTTTGGCTATGGTTTCATTTTGGGTTGTTTTGTTGTGTTTTTTAAAAGGAGGTTAGTAGTAGGCACTTTATGAAACTTTCAAAATGTATTAATATCACATTTGGCACTTAATGCACAGATACCAGCAAGGTCACTTCCTCAGCCTGCTAAGCCTACTAACCTAGATGGAAACTTTTCAGCTTCTCCTCTTGTAATTGTGAATCCCAAGCGTCAAGACAGAATAGCAATAAGAAATCAGTAAAATGTGAAGGTTTTCTCAGGCCCCTACTAAGAGCCTAGCCAGATGCACATTTCTTATTCCTTTTGGTAAATAGATTCAGGTTTGGTATGATTCAGCGAACTAAAAAATATCCCCTGCTCAGAGCTCGTCTCTGCCTGCTAATTGCATGAAGCTTAACAGATCCTCCTCATACAACACCAAATAAGGGCTGGCTGGAAATCAAAACCGCCTTGCCAGGCACTTTGGATTTTCCAAAGGCACTGTAATGTTCCTAGAGATGTTGATTAATGGAAATGGGGAGCTGTGTGGACTGGGGGTAAAGCCCCACAGAGTGATAGCCTGGTGCCAGTATTTATTATTTTTGACTCCAGCTTTGGAATGCTTTCCCCTCTCCTCCCTGAAAGAACTTCCTCCATCACATGGGGCTGATAATGGGGGTGAGGTTCAATACCTCATAGAGAAATGCAAAAGGGAAACACAGAATGTTAATAAGCCCAGGATTTTGCCCTCTGTTCTGTATTGCTCTGCCCCAAAATACAAAACCTAATTAGTGCTTCCA